ATGAACAAGTTTGACGGTTGGATCGTTAAAATTAGTTTCGTAGGATGCGTATCACATCAAAATGATAGATTCACTAACACTTAAGAGTTTATTTATACTTTCATCAAGTATAACATAAGATTGTGGTATCCACTAGTGTAAATATTTTAAATAGAAGATCGAATTCATTCATTGTATTTGTTTAGGGTCAAGGAGGGTAGCTGTAAAAAATCATCAAAATCGGAGTTAAAATAACCGTTAAATCGTAATTTTTCGTTTATAACCGTCGAAAAGTTTTGTCTTATTACTTGATCTCTGAATGTTTGTTTTTTGCAATTTTTGGCGTATGCGATCTTGAAGCATATATAAACAAGTTTGATGGTTGGATCGTTGAAATTAGTTTCTAAGATGCGTATCCCATCAAAACGATAGATTCACTAACACTTACGAGTTTATTTATACTTTCATCAAGTATAACATAAGATTTTGTGGTATCCACTAGTGTAAATATTTTAAATTGAAGATTGAATTCATTCATTGTATTTATATAAGGTCAAGGAGTGTAGTTGTAAAAAATCATCAAAATCAAAGTTAAAATAACCGTTAAATCATGATTTTTCATTTATAACCGTCGAAAAGTTTTGTCTCGTTACTTGATCTCTGAATGTTTGTTTTTTGCAATTTTTGGTGTATGCGATCTCGAAACATGTATAAACAAGTTTGACGGTTGGATCATTGAAATTAGTTTCATAGGATGCGTATCCCATCAAAACGATACATTAACTAACACTTAAGAGTTTATTTATACTTTCATTAAGTATAACAAAAGATTGTGGTATCCAGTAGTGTAAATATTTTAAATTGAAGATCGAATTCATTAATTGTATTCATATAAGGTCAAGGAGTGTAGATGTAAAAAATCATCAAAATCGGAGTTAAAATAATCGTTAAATTGTGATTTTTCGTTTATAACTGTTGAAAAGTTTTGTCTCATTACTTCATCTCTGAATGTTTGTATTTTGCAATTTTTGGAGTATTCGATCTTGAAGCATGTATAAACAAGTTTGACGGTTGGATTGTTGAAATTAGTTTTGTAGGATATGTATCTCGTCAAAACGATAAATTCACTAACACTTAGAGTTTATTCATACTTTCATCATTTTGATGGGATACGCATTGATGTTATACTTAATGAAAGTATAAATAAACTTTAAGCATTAGTGAATCTTATCGTTTTGATGACTTGGAATAAATATATTAATTATTTATATATTTTAAGTGTTAATTAGACTATGTTTCAATTAGTATGTGATGATATTTAATAATAAAATTACATTTATGTTTTTGATTACGTATTTTATTTTTATTCAAGTTAAAATGTTATAAGAGATAAAAAAAAAAAAAAAAAGCTGGTTATTTTTTTTCTTTGGGTTAAACATTAGGCGGGAAATAGATGGATATAGGTTGCAAAATTTCCCAAACATTAGGTGGGAAATGGATGAAACTCTTGAAATATTAGGCGGGAAATTAATTATTATAATTTTTTTATGTTTTTGGTATTTTTAAATTACTTGATATTTTTATTTTTAATGTGTTTTATGATTTTTAATCTCAATCTTTGCCTATAATATACTATAAAAATAAATAAATAAATAAAACTTAAATTTTAAAATTTATATAGAATAATAATTAATAAACAATATATACATATTCATTATATCTATTGCATTTTATAGTAAGTTTTTTTTAGTAGTTTAAAAAATTAAAATCATCAAAATAGCATTTTTCTTATCGTGTCGAAACAGGTTACCCGCGTCTCATTCTCGTGTAAACCTGTTAAGGACCCGTTATTAACGAGTTATTATCGTGTGATCCGATAATGACCCGATTAGTTATCGTGTTGACCCGAAACCCGTTATTTTCGTGTCGTTTACGTGTCGTGTTAATGAGTCGTGTAATAAATTGTCTGGTCTACTTCCAAGCCAAAAAAGCAAAATACTAACGTGGCCTTCACAAAGCCACAAAAATCACCACAAAACATTACGCAAAAGGACGTTTGATGAAGACGTCAGCTCCTCTTCTGCAATACGAGATTAATTTCTTTTTCTTCAACAATATTTCTAATGAAGTAGTTCTTCTGTTTAAGGTGCTTAGTAGCAAATAAACACATATAATATGCTACTAAGATCTTTAAAAATGAGCATTCGAAATATCAAAAGCTTATGGTGGTGGCAAAAATAAATTATTTTTCACATTTTGACTGTTTGCAGCATTCATGGGATCAAACGAGCGTGCGTTTGACACCTTGAGGGACTTAAGCAAATAAACACATATAATATGCTACTATGACCTTAAGAATGAGTACTCAATTGACTCAAAGTTTTTTGGGTGATAAAAGTACATAGTTCTTTACTTTGGAGTGTATTTAGACTGTTTATGTCATTCATGAGATCAAACGAGCGTGCGTTTGACACTCTTTGGAACGTAAGCAAATAAACACATAATATGTTACTAGGGCCTTAAGATCAAAAGCTTAATAGTTGTCAAAAGAACACAGTTTTTTCTTTTGGAGTGTATTTTGACTGTTTTCGACATTCATGGGATCAAACGAGCGTGTATTTGGTACTTTTTGGAACTTGAGTAAAAAACACATAATTTGCTGCTAAAACAATAACAATGAGTACTCAAAAAGATTATTAGGTGTCAAATGTACACAATTTTTTACTTTGGAGTGTATTTGGACGTCTGCAATGAAGTGATTATTTAGTGGTAGATAGTGTTCTTCAATGTAGCACCATGATGGACGGCCTGGCAATGGGTCACATAAGTGTCTCACTTTTTCTCAGTGTATCTCCTTCAATGGTAGACAGTGTTCTTCACTAAGGGAAGAAAAATGAAGGAGAAGGCATTAATCACTGGGACTACCGACTGGAACTATGAAGGCGAATTTTGTTAACACAAAATACGAGTTCATCGTTTATCCCGAAGGGAGAGTTTGAGATTTTTCCAAGTCCAGCCAGGGATCGGGCATAGAACAAGAACCACCTCTAATATTCAATGGGGTCTTAAACTAACTAAAACATTGTTGGAATCCCTAACAATTGCTGGTGTTTTCTTTGGAATCAATAACCATTTAATAATTAAAGCATGTTCTGTGCCTCGACTAAACGTGACACATAAAAAGTTTTCCTGCAATGGGTTCTGTTTTCGCTGGGGTAACAAAATAAGAATTAAAGCAAGTTATGTGTATATGCATCATAAGAACTAGTAAGAGTACGTAGATGTAGCAACACAACACACCTTGTATATGTTGACCATGGATGTAAAAGGGAAGTCTCATCATCCCAGCTAGGCAAATCAACCGTTGACTTTTACATAATCTTTAATTGTTAATTTGTATATATAGCTGCTGCTAATTACCAGTTTTCATTTATTACTTTTCATGTAAAGTCACTCCTGGACTAGTATATCATCTTGTATTATTCCTTGTAAAAAAATTAATGAAAGCTACTCAGCCAGACTCAAAACATTATAGGATCATGCTCATTTTGTTCACGAGTCAAGTGGATTTGAGGAGTGGGCACCATGTATTGGACTCATCCTTTGTGCTGGCTAGTACCTACTATGGGTGGACCACTGTTGCAAATTGGTCGCTGCCACCGACGCTCTTGGCCTTGAGTTTCATCCAGTTTTTTGTTCTCATTGATGTTTCTTTGTTTTTTCCTTCGCGGATTTAGGTCTCGTCTCCTTGCTTGTTTTCTTTTATCATTGCTTTTCATTATTGAATAATTTCGGAGATAGGGGACCGCGGGTGGTGTTCATTCTTTTGGGGAAATTAACACTTTTTAATTATTATGAGCGGAAAAGAGTTAGCATACTTTGTAGTTGGTGATATTGGTTCTTTCTAGAGAGTAAAGTCATTATTACATTCCCAATTATTCTGTTATTGGGACAATTTTTTTTTTTTTTTTATCAGTTGGATGTAACCAGCCATTCTTGATCAGTTATTGTTCTTAGGAAGAATTGTAGATCTCATATTTTTTTTCGAATTCATATGTTATGAGTGCAAAACTGACACACCAGATGAAAGTAGTGTTAATCCAAACAACAGAAAAATTCAAAATATCCACTTACACGATATGGCAGTAGCAAATTACCTTTTAACCCGTAAATTACTAATTTTCCAATCTTACTATTGTGTTAACGAACCGACCTGTTTTTCTTCAAACCAGATCCTGTAAGGCACATTCGTTATCAGTCCCAAGTCATTTGCCAATCCGTTCACCTTTGTCCGTGGTCCCGTTAGTGGAATAATAAAATCTTGATCTCCGCTGTACAAAACATTTAAGATCATCGAGTGACTATTGCGAAAATTAAACTAATCGAAATCAGTCCAATTTGGCTCCAAGTTTTATGCTCGTAGGTGTACGAAATCGTTCAGTAGTAAACACTTTATATCGTCCCGCATAAACCAATCTAATTCTAATCGCCAAACTCAATTCAATTTGCAACTTGGTTGCAACAAATGTTCAACCTCATTGATATTCAAATTCCCCCAACTCATGTAACATCTATGACGTCTAAATTATTATGTATATCTCAATATGAAACCATTCATGGCATCTGGATTAGTTGAATATAATAAAACTCACTACGATCAGTGAGAATTTATATAAAGACTACACACTTCCTAGAGTAAGTTGATTTGGAAGGCTGATGTTCCATCTCTCTAATTTAGCTTCAATTTAAATCCCTCTTCTCTGAAAGATGGGAGAGAAAGCTCTTCTCTTTTTAGTGCAAATAAGGGAATAAAAGCTACTCTTGATTGGCTTAAGCAGTCAGGTGCTCGAATGGTCCTACAAAATAAAGTGAATGGCTGCTTGCAATGTTTGCAAAAAGGATATGCACAAAACTTGAAGCTGCAATCTTCTGAAGTTCTTGGTTAAAATTGCCAAACGTGCCTGATTTAGCTAGCCTCTTGAAGAAGCTGTTAGGGACACATGTTTTCTTTAAGATTGGAATTCAACAAGGAAAATCTTACAATTTTATAAAGCAAATCTTACAATTTTGTACTGGAAAAATGAAAACCAAGGAAAAGATAAAAAACTATGCCACAAAATAGTTAATAACGTTCAACGATTGCAGCATAGAGCTTCTTCACAATGTTATTCTGGAACTGAGAAAATGCATTGCTCCACGGCACATTGGACATCAATGAACCAAGAACAATACAAAACCCGAATGCAAATCCGAGCCCCAAGCTCAGATAGAACCCACCATCTTCAAGTAAATGACCTTCTTCGCGCTTCTCATCACCTACCGGTGGCATGGCCTCATTTGTACTGCAGCGCTCCAGCAATGGAGGTCCGCAAAGTTTATTCCCAGCATAACTGGACAGATCAAAGCTTTGAAGCTGAACGCTTTTTGCAATCTGCCCTATCAGATTGCTATAGGACAAATTCAGGTAATCGAGAAATGTCAAATTAGAGACGCTTAGAGAAATTTCGCCAGAAAGTTGGTTCACGGACAAATCAAGCGACTCTAATGTTCCCATATCACCGATTTTGCAAGGGATTCTTCCGGTCAAAAGATTATTAGATAAATTCAACATTTCTAAGCTAATGAGGCTGGTCAGCTCTTTAGGGATTTCTCCAGATAACATGTTGCTGGAAAGGTGCAAACTAGCTACCAAACGAAGCATTGTTTTATATTTCACTTCTCTGCCTTTGGTCACCAACACTGCATTCTCTATGTATGTCTCCTCCAAAGTACCAAAAATTTCAGTCCCAACACTGATGAATACAATTCCGGTATCTCCTCCTCTTGAAAAGGTGGTGGCCATGTATTTCCATGCGACTTAAAATATGAAACACGGATAAAGGTAACTTAAGAAAACAAGAGTTGATGACAATGGCTCTCAACTATAATCAAATTATTCAATGAGCCAAACAACCACAGCAGCCCAGACAACCAACCAGATGTGATTAGGTGACCAGAAAGATATGCTGAATGACCGTAAAGATGCTTTTATTAGTGAATTGAATGACATTTTACAAGCGCACTACCACTACAAAGTTCTATCTTTGACATTGTTTCAGTTCCTAATTCATGAAACATTCTTGAAGTGGATTCTGTGGAGACACTTAATTGGGGTTTGTTTATGTCAATCTTGGATTTACTGCTTCATGTACATATTTGATAGTGTTAAATTATTTAAGGCACCAGCGCTCCAAAAACATTTTTCAGTTTCAAAACAAATTGAAATATCACAAAAACTGACTCAACAAATATTTTAACTCCAAGTTGCGTCAGGTTATTGATGCCCGAAAGAATTGAAATTAGACATGCAGCATAGCAAATCATCTGAAAAAATATAACAAAGAGAATAATGACAAATGATATCCCTCAAGAAGAAGGGTTAAGCAAACATACCTTCTGTACACGTGCAAGCAAACGCGTAAGAATGCTTTTCAAACTCCTCACAAGTTCAAGGTTTTTGGTGCTAACATTTCTAGCCAGTTCATCTAAAACAGGGTAGGCTTCTCGCTCAAGGTCTGCCACACTAAAATTCAAGTATGTGCAGACGACTTCTAATGCAATCTTCGGAACCTGAAACTCAAATGGGAGATCACACTGCACACCTTCAACGACTTCGGGAACAGGTAACCATTGCCTTCCGGTTGAAACATTCATTCCACTACCTTGTTCATCTAGTGGACTTGCTTCTTCTATCCTGGATTGCCTTTTCTGAGGAAGTTGTTGCCTTAGCTGATCCGCAAATGGAAGAACCTCCTGCCGAAGAGGATCAAGCAACAAAACCTCTTCCGCTGTAACTATAGCCTTTATAAACTCTAAATTAACCACCATGGCCTTCTCCCTAGCTGCAATTGAAATGAGAAAACATATTTCCATTGGTCATCATGGTCTGCTATGGCTACACAATTAAAAAACCAGCAAATAAGGTAACCCTAACCCTAATGAGAATTCACATAGAGGATAAAAAAGGGGGGGAGGAGGAGGAGGAGTACCAAGGATGCTGGAGGAATGGGAGAAGACAGGGCCGAGAATCCTCAAGTCCCGGGCGGGAATGGCAGCGCGTCGAATAATAGCATTCTTGTCACACTCGACGAGCTCTGATCCGCCAAAGCGGTCAAACCGCATCCAAAGACTGGCTCCTCCGGCCTTCTTCTTCCCCTTCACGCCACCGCCGCCAGCAACAACCGCGTTCAGATTATTATTATTGTTGTTGGTATTGGTATTGTTGATATGGACATTGGAGGGCGGAGGAGATCGAAACGGCTGCGGCGGCGAGGGAAAAGGGGAAGGGGGAGGGCCAATGAACTTCTTGGGGCGGCGCCGGATGCTGCTGCTGCACTTGAAAGAGAAGGGACCCTTACCCATTTTTGCTTCTCTTTCTCTTCCCGTTCCGTGTGTGTATTTAAGCGAGTCATGGATCTTTCTCTTCCCCCTCTTCCCTCCTGCTCCAACTCGGACTCGGACTCGGACTCCGCCTCCTCATCATCCCCAGCCGCTTGCTTCTTTCACGTTCTCTCTCTCTCAACTCCCGAACACACTTTATATAGTTTTTAGGGAGTTTTAACGAAAACTCCATGTTACTGTTTATTTTAACAAAAGTCATATTTTTATATTAAAAAGTCAATCCTGGTACTATTTACTTTACATTTTATTTTGTCCTTATCATCAAAGTTTTCAAGTCCTTTTCATTAATTTTTCTTAATTTTTAATTGTTTTTCTACATAATAAGGAACGCGGGAATTTTATTGGCACCGAATGCCAAAAAGACCTTTTGTGTGCCTAGGTGGTTAATTCAATTGAGATTTTGAAGAATTGTAATTCTTTTAATGAATATATGAGTATTTAATCAAAATTTTAAGTGATTATCTGAGATTCAAGGTGTATTCAATTATGATTTTAAAGAAGTTTATAACTTTTTATGTGTATTCAATTAGAAATTGATTTTAAAGAATTTGAGAAAGTTGAGAAATTAGAAGGAATTAGAGAGATTTCGTAGTTTATTTTAAGCATCCATAAATCTCACCTCTCCCCATGAGAGTTCGAAGGAATTGAATCAAAATGTTATTTGGAATCTCTATAAATCAATTAAACTCTATAAAAATTCATGGATTTATAAATCCATTAAAATCTCTCAAATTCTTAATTGAATACACCCCTAAGTGTTATAATACAATTAATTGAAAATTTAAAAATAAATATTTTAAACAATCAAGAAATTTGGAGTATGGGGCCATGATTTTGATAGCTAGTGTAGCGTGTAATGTAAGTTGTAATCATAATTAAACTCATCTAAGTTAAGAATATATACACACAATCCCTTTAAAGAAGGAATTTCTATTTTTATTTTTTAAATGGAGATTAGTTATGAGATGCACTTCATCGAACTTCAACTCTATAAATATAGTTTCTCGTGACCGTATCTGAAATTTCATATTTGCAACGAAAAGATAATCATCAAGTGATTTATTGGACGAAATGCAGAGAATGTGTGCGATTATCAGCAAAATTAATCATAAACAGCTGCTGATTTGACGAAACACAGAAACGGAGATACACGCGCACGAAGCTAAAAATGCTTCCTTTTGCTTCGAGAAAATACACACAAACATACATATATATATATATATATATATATATATGTGTGTGTGTGTGTGTGTATTGATTACCTGTAGTGAACGAACAATCGAGATCTTGAAACGCAATGATCGAAGAATCAGAGATGTTTATCTGTCCTAGGGTTTCTGAGATATCAATGATTTAATACCCCTCTTCTCTTCGGAGAAGAAGCTCTCTCTCTCAATCTCTCTCTCCTCTCTCTCTCTCTCTCTCTCTATCTATCTCTCTCTACTATTTCTTCTGGTTAATGTCTGGGGTTTGGATTGAAATTATATTTTGTTTTGTCCTTTTTAATTTAATTTATTATTTAAATGTTTTTTGTAAAATTTGATTGTCAACTTTGTATCTTTTGGATGCACAGCCTTGCAAGTTGCAAGTGGCGCCTTTTTATTCCCCCTTTCCAGTTCATTTTTGCCTACCCAAAATCCTATTCTGGGATTAAAGATGGTCAACAAAGTTGAAACCACAGAGAAAATTTACATTTCATAACCGAGTTTTTTTGTTTTTGAGACATTTTTTTTATATTTCTATAATTATTAAAAATGTGCGGATTTAGTCCTTGAATCGTTACAGTTATTACTTATTGTGATTCTTTTTAGAATAATGTGTTGATTTAGTCTTTGAATTATTAATTCAGCTTCTAAACTATTTTTTTTTCTTTAGAAAAGTAAGCCCTTTAACTCATTAAATTTGCCAATTGCATTTCTACTATAAGACTCAAAGCTATTTTATTCAAATTTTCGTCGAGTCACGTAACTTACATGTAATACATTTTAAAGTATACGTTAATAGTTTTAATGCGTTTAAGAACTTATTTTCTTGAAAAAATAATGTATAGAGTTAAATTTGAAGGGTATGTCGGCAATTTGATTCGTAATATATATGCAATATTAATTGCTTATTGACAAGATAATAACTGTGACATCCCACATCGCCCAGGGGAGTGATCCTTATATGTATATTCTCATCCTTATCTATCACGAGACCTTTTGGGAGCTCACTGGCTTCGGGTTCTGTAGGAACTCCAAAGTTAAGCGAGAAGGGGGTTAGAGCAATCCCATGATGGGTGACCCACTGGGAAGTTGCTCGTGAGTTCCCAAAAACAAAACCGTGAGGGAATGGTAAGCCCAAAGCGGACAATATCGTGCTACGGTGGTGGAGCGGGGCTGGGAAGTGATCCGCCCCGGGTCGGAATGTGACAATTTGGTATCAGAGCCTATCCCTGGTCGGAAATGTGCCGACGAGGACGTCGAGCCCCTAAGGGGGGTGGATTGTGACATCCCACATCGCCCAGGGGAGTGATCCTTATATGTATATTCCCATCCCTACCTATCACGAGGCCTTTTGGGAGCTCACTGACTTCGGGTTCTGTAGGAACTCCGAAGTTAAGCGAGAAGGGGGTTAGAGCAATCCCATGATGGGTGACCCACTGGGAAGTTGCTCGTGAGTTCCCAAAAACAAAACCGTGAGGGAATGGTAAGCCCAAATCGGACAATATCGTGCTACGGTGGTGGAACAGGCCCGGGAAGTGATCCGCCCCGGGTCGGGATGTGACAATAACAGTATTACTCCATAAAGTGTGTTATCTATAAGTAACATGGCTTAAATTGATGAAACATTGGATAGACTATCTTTGAATCTTATAGTAGGGATGAAATTATCAGTTTTAATGATTTTAAGGACTAGTTTAGAAACTTAACTTTCGCTTAAGTAATAATTTAGGAACCAAATCGAAATGTCAGTTCACCATTTTTAGGGGTAGGAAACCTAGAGACTGAGATCATCTTGTTCTCTTGGTTATTTTTTAATCAGAAATCTGGGTTACGACATATTTTACTATAGTCTTAAACAAAATGGGTGAATTTTTACAAACTTTTAATAACCATTTCAGCTTTTAGTTTTTAGGTTTTGGTTTTCTTTTTCTTTTTTTTAATTTAAAAAAATTATAATTAAAAAATAGTTACCAGACAACCATTTAGATTTATAAATGAACATTTGGATTAAAAGTAAGCATACTAGAGAACTCAATTTCAACACATACTTCGATATTCCCAAAACGAGTTTGACTCTCTTTTTCTTCTGTGAAAAGAATTGAAGTGATAATAATATTCTCTTCAATCAATAATTTAGATTATTATAAACCCTAATTCCCGAACCAACAATAATCTAACCCCAATTTAGAATGTTAATAGCATTAGTAGGGCCATTTTAACTTTTCTTTTTGGAGTTATGCAACTTTTTTGCACACAAGCATTTCCTTTGGTTTTATTTTCTTATTACAAACGCAAAGTATAAATGAACAATGTGGAGTGAGTTGTTGACAACGACATTTATTATCTCAACATAATTAATTAGTTAATCAATTAATTAATCAAATTAAATTGATTAATTAATTAATTAATTAATTTAATTAATAGGGTATTGACAAATAGGAAGAGTGAGAGGAGGAGTCGGCACTTAAAAAGTGCATGATGGGAGACAGCCAATTCCTCATCAATAAAGTCAGCAACAAGATAACAAATTCGGTACAATATAAATCAAACATGTCCACATTTATTCAACCTAATTTGGAAAGAACTTGGCTGCTGAAGTCCTACTGACAACCAATCCAAGATGGACACGTGTCCAAGTTTTGATTAAAAAAATCCAAATTTGAACACGTGTCCATCCCGGATTAGTTGTAAGCAGGATCGGCTGTTGAATTTACAGCAGGCAATCCCAAAACCCTAAACGGTTGGATTGTCGAAATTCAATGTTGATTGGGCCCCAGAAGGTGCCTCTTTTTGGGATCCCTATGTATACACGCATACAAATGATATTGAGCAAGGAAAGTTTTGAACTCGAAACATCGACTGCAGAGAGTATGCTCTTAAACAATAACAAAGAGCACCAAGCACGACCTAATTACGCCAAACTCACAAAACGTAAGGAAACCATCACCGAAATGACGTTAATTTTGAGCCAAGAAAACTCATTCATCTGTTTAACATATACAACACTATACTAACCTACATGCCGTGTAATTTGAAATGAATCTGGCAGCATACGAAGTCATGAAATCCCTAAAAAAACTCCTTGTGCTCATACAACATGTAAACACAAGCTTACTTACAAAGCCACTGGTTAAGGGGTCGTAAATAAGTTTGCGAATCTGAGTACTATCTACAACAGATGACAGGCTCGACTCATGTATCAAGCAGCTTCTTCCACCTGGCATACCCGAATATGAGAAAGAAGAGTAACATGGAAAATGCCGTAATACCCCCAACAAAGGGCTCAAATATCCCTTTCTTGGTGTATAATATACAGGGGATGTTCATACCAAATATACCAGATATCAAGGTCTCCACTGCTATCTCAAATGATGCAATGGTCAATGTCAATTGGAGCTGAATGAGTTCGTTTCGTTGGTTATCAAGTTGTATGTTGACATAATCCTCCGTGTCATCAATATACTCCCGCACCTACATCCAATGAACACAATACGAACATGAGCAGTATTCAAGGACGGATTAACACAATAACCAATCATGCTTAACATGCACAACTAACTGGTTTCTAAATTACAATTCTTATATACCAATGACAGTGAAATTAGTTCCAACTGGGAACCCACAAGAGGTCCAAAGCCTCCAAAGTATTCCAGGAGCAAGTGCAACCACAGAACTCTTACAGAAAATATGCAACATTTAAGAAATCTAACCTAAAATTCATTATCTGGAACTGAATCAAAGTTGATGCAACTGCATTAAAACACAAGCTAACGGTGACAAATGATATTTAATATTGTTTTGTAAAACGTTAAGTTCTCCCGGACGAGATCCTTTAAGAAGCATTTGTGTAAACTGAACTTAATAGTCAAGTTCTATAGTATAAAGTTGTTATAGTAGGTCATAACAATTACCACTCACAGATAATATTT